GGCGGATCTCAGTTGCCTGGCATGGGTCCAAGCACCCTCGCCTCGCCTGCCCCTCCCTGGGTCCTCTGGGGAAACTCTGAGGGAAGGCAAGCGCCCAGCCCCCCAGCTCAAGTGTTCCTGGGCATTCACCACGACAGAGCCCACATCCAACGCACAGTTCAGTCAACTACAGATCTGAACCCACCATCCCGTAACGTCCTTCTGAGCATCTTTTAACCTTTCGAAGTAAGAAGCACCAGGCATCCCAGGATGGAGCTGATCTATTAGGTCTAGAACACCTTCTGCACTGACCCCAGGATCCATCTACCTAGAAATACAGCAGGAAGAGCACCTGATTAGCGGCCAGGACGCCCAAGTTCCAGCCGTCCCATTAGGAGCTGTGAGATGGTCCTCATCCCCTCTGTGCACCCAGACGGGGCATCCAACAACTGGCTCAGAATTAAAGATGACCTTGACATTTCAAACAGAAACACAGAGGGAAGATCAATAGGGATGACAGTGAGCAGGGCCATGACCTCAGGAAAGAGAAAACAGGAACCTGCTTATAGATGTAAATAAGGCTGGGAAATCCTGGAGGGGGGCGGGGGATGGGCAGAGCAGGATGGAAATGGGCGATGCAGAGCTGCAGTTGAAAAAAAAATTTGCATTCCCTGCTGAGATTCGGCTAGGAAAGCCCCGGGCGCCCACACCTCCTCCCCCTGCCTCTGTCCTCCAGACAAGCAGGCCTACGATGTGATCAGCAAGGGAGATGTGGCCTGGCGGGCCCTGTCCACTGGCTGTCCTTGCTGGGGTTGCCAGGCACTGCCAGTCACACCTAGGAGCATCCCTCCTCCAGGTGGGGGGCTCAGTTCTGCTGCACGTGGAGGAGGGAGGGAAGAGGGCAGGGCAGAGTCAGGATCTGCTGTCCCCCCTTCCCCTTCCCTGTGCTCTTGGCCCCTTACAAGAATGATGTGGGTGCTGCAATGCCTCAGCCTGGGGCAGGGGGTGCCAAACCAGATCCAGAAACCTCTGGGAGGCCAGGTCAGGGACCCTCCTGCCGCCCATTCACATCACGCTGCCATCACTGACAGAGACACAGCCCCGCTGGTGTTCCCCTTAATTGCCGCGACACCCCGGGGCTGCTGTAATTTAAACCCTGCTCTGTTTCCCTGAGTCTGAGCTCTTAAGCTTCAGTCTACAGAACATAAAGGAATCATCAAGAATCCTACACCAAATGAGCTCAGCTGGCCCCTTCCCCTCCCTCCCTTTCGTCCCTCGCTCTTCTCCACCACCCTGCAGAGCCACAAGCAGGGAAGTTCGAAGTGAGTCTCCACGGGCCACACCGGCGCTACAGGGCCCAGGGGCCCACTCCCTTCAAATCAGCATGGGGCCTCAGGCTGGCCTCCAGCACATGGAGGCCCCACTCACTGCCCCAGAGTCTCCGCCACACTCCAGCCACCTTATCCCATGCAGCCTGGCTTCCTCTCCTTGGTCAGGAAGCCCCATCTCTGTGCTCAGAGGCTCATCACAGGTGCCACCTCCTCCAAGGAGTCTTCCCTGATCTCTCCAGTTGGTTGTCACCTCACTGTCCTTTGAGTGTTTTGTGTCTTCCTCTCCTTCGACCTTGGTCTGTGGCCACTAATTAGCTGGGCACACCCTAAACTCACCACGTACCCTCTCAAAGCCCAGCACAGGGTCTGGCCCACAGGAAATGCTCAGCAAGTCTCTGGGACATGGAAGTAAACAGGCTGCACTTGGGACAGAATCCGAATAAAGAGCTGAAACCAGCGCGAGGGACTATAGGTGGATACAAAGACAACCTGTTGACTGTGATCTGCTAAACTCTGGAAGGATTGCTAAATGGTGCTGAGGAGCCTCCCACCTCTGAAGACATTTCAATCAGAACCAGCACTTTCCTCATCTGTCCAAGATTTTGCACACAGAGGCGGGAAGGTGGACAAGACTTCCCAGAGTCCTGCAGCACCAAGCCACGCAAACTACCCTGATGATGACGATAGTCATGCTGAGCGCCTGCACTCGGCCAAGGACGATGGGCATTATCTCGTTTAATCCTTCCAACAATCCTTCTATGCATAGAGCCTGGTCTCATTTCCATGTCACAGGTGAGGAAACGGAGGGTCGAAGAAATTGCGCTTGTTGGAAGCTGAATGCAGTTCCCTCCGACTCCAGGGCCCTCACTTGGGCTGCCTCAGACAGGCTCATGTCAAAGCAAGTCTCTGTCCCCACGCAGCTGCACACCGCGTACACAGAAATATGCACAGAGACACACGTGCACCACACCCTGTCTTGCCCACATACTTAGCCAAAGGACACACACGCAAATCTCTGACACTGCATGAATCTCAGATCTGGTAGGTTGTTTGTTGTTTTTGTTTTTTTTTAGGAAAAAGAGTCAAAGAGAGAAATGCCTGAAAATGAGCCTTTAAGATTTGAGTGGAAAGGAATCTGGCACTTTTGGTTTACTACTAAAGCCCTGCTCAGCAGCAGCAAAGCACACAGGCCCACAGAGATGCCCAGCCTCCAAGCACCCTTCTCTCCATTAAACATCAAAAGGGAAGTGGAAACAATTCCTACAGGCCATTCCTTGGTCCTGACTGTTGCCTGTTTCCAAGCAGAAGGCCAGAGACACTTAACTATCAGTGGGGCATGAGACCAGGCAAGGGGACCCGGGCACCAAGACAGGGACCCCAGGATCAACAGAGCAGAAGGTGGCAGGAAGTGCTAAGTGAAGGGAGCATGTGATGGGCAGGCAGTTGGCCCTTCTGGCCTCGGGCTCTGGGTAGTGCTGCCAACCCTGGAAGAAACCGGGTCTGGCTCCCCACCCAAACAGCCCCCAACCCAGCTCCAAGTGCTCTCAGAGCTTCAAGTTGTCTTTCAACCCTAAATTCTAGGGCTTGGATTCTAATGGTAACATTTCAGGCAGAGGATGGGGAGAGGGTGGTCTATTTTTAACTCACCCATTAGAGAGCTGGCAACACTGCTCTCAGAGTCCCCTTTCTATCTGGCTCCCAAAAAAACAGGAGCCTTGATGGAGTCCTGGCTCATGCTGAAAAAGAATCTGGGTTTTTCAGGGGGGCTTGAGCCTAAGGAGCCTAAGTAGGCAGTGACTATTTGGGGAAGGCGGAGCAGAAGCAAGAAGAGAGCCCAGCCAGCCACCAGCCATGCAGCTAGGGAGAGGACGGGGACGCAAACACAGATGTGCAGCAAGTTTCCCCACTATCCAGGAGACACCTTGGAAGCTCCACAAAATGACCAAGGGGACCCAGAGGTGGCCAGGGCAAGAGTACTGTCCCGTGGAGACTATGAACCAAGAGGCGAGGCTGACACGGAGTGTAGCAGACCAGGAGAGCTGGAGCAGGAGGCAGTCTAAGCTCCCCAGAGGGCAGCTCTGGCCCTGCTTCTTCCCAGCCAGGTCATCCCAGGCCAGGATTTTATAGCTTGTCCTGTCTTCCTTGCAGGCTTTTTCAGAGGACCACTGGCATGAAACTAGGAGCATCTCTTGTTCTAATGAGGTAACTCTGGGTGGGTTCTGGGATGGGGGCTGGTCCCCAGAGAAACCAAGAAAGGATGAGAAGGTTTGGAGTTTCAGCCTGAAGAAGAGCCACAATGAACTCAGACGCGCACTGCAAACTCGACTCAGGGAGGAAATCTCAGAAATTGTGCACACACACAAGCAAATGCCCAAGTAAACCTACAAAAGGACAAACACATGTGAGGGCTTAACCAGAGGCTAAACTTTTACACCCTTTGTGGAGTCAGATGTGACCAACCTGTTTCCTGAAGGGCCCCCACCCTTCACACCACCAGCTCCCTTCACAGGCCCACTCCTCAGGAGGCCCCACTCTCACTCAGACCTCCACTCCTGAGAAGTCCTTCCTGATTATCCCTGTGTGGTGTAAATAAGACCATCCCACCCCCCTTCCTGGGTCTGAAACTCCACCACTGGAATCAGAGCCATAGAATTTAAAAGCTGGAATGGGCCTTCAAGCTGCAGTCCAACCCCCACCCTACAGAAGAATCTTGTCCACAGACACCCTGACACATGGCCGTGGTTGTCCTCTCCTCTGCTTCTCCAGTGCTTGGGGAGTGGGGGGAGGAGGGGAGGAGCCCTTGCACAGTGAAACTGACACTCCTTGAATTCGAGAAGGAATTCACCTTTTCGAAGGCTGGTTTCCTATTGCGGTCCGTAAGCCTGGGAAGGAGGACAAGGAGAGCCTCGGTCCATCAGGGCCAGGAACTGTGCATTTGATGAGGAGCTGAAGACAGGCCCAAGGACCTGGACAAGAAGCTGGAGAGGAAGCCAGGGCCCAGAGGAGTGGGGCCCAGGGAAGGGAGGCAGGCAGGTGCCAGACCCGCTGCACAGGTTTGCCTGGGCCCCTGCCTGCGTGCGGCACATGTGCACACATGCACACACACGCACACAAGACTCACACTTTTCACAGAGTTGCCTGTCAAACAGCCCAACCAGGGCCTCAGTGGGACCTGGAGGCAGAGGGGAACCACCTTGTCCCAGAAACCTAGCAAGAACTCCTAACAACCCAAGCCTCCTAACCCAGGAAGTTCAGGAAACCAACCAGGAGACCAGCCCCGGCCAGCACCGGGGATGGCCTAAGGAGGGTCCGCCTGACAGCTGGGCTCCCCAAATCCCACAGGCCAGTCTTAGCACTCCAAGCATCGCCCAAGGAGAAAAGCTCCCTGGGCTGCAGCTGTCACATCTGCCGGGAGGGAGCAGGCACAGCGGAGCAGCACCTGATCCCAGGATCCCTTCACAGCCCGCCAGCCCAGGAGGCCTGGTTCAGCCGCTGGCAGCCCCAGCTGAAACATGAAGACGGAACAGTCCCCCAGGGATGCTGATGGCAGTCTCTGGGCACGGCAGCGAGGGGCAAGCTGGGTCACAGGGCGGCCGGCTCCTCTCCCGCAGCCTCCTGTCCCTGCTGGTTTGGGAGGGGGCGAGTTGTGTGGCTTCAGGGCCCCGGGCCCTTCCTCCCCGCCTGACGCAGGCCGGAGCTGCCCAGCTGGGTGCAGGACGCCATCTTGGGTCAAGGTGCAGCCACAGGGGGCTCCCCTTCGCGAGCCGTAGGTCGGGGCGGGGAGAGCCCCTGAGAACCAGCAAGCCCCTCACTCCCCACCCAAGGCGCCAACACCTACTCAACTGGCTCTGCAGTAGAGAGAGAAGGAAGGACGGAAGGGATGGAGAGAAAAGGGGGAAATAACAGGGGCTGGGGGGGTGGGGGGAGAGGGAAGGGAGTGGGTGCCCCAAGAAGGGAGGCTCCAGGAAAGCGAAATGCAGTTTGGCAGCCCGAGGGCCGCGGGCCCCAGCGATGGGGGGCTGGGGGAGGCCGGGGGCGGGCCCTGGACTCCGGCCAGCCCCTTCGGAGCCGAGGGGGAGGGAGGGCAGGGCGGCCTGGGGGAGGGGAGCTGGGGTGAGGGCGGGACACGGCCCGAAGCCGCCTGCGGCTCTGAAGCTTGGGGTCTCCCGGGACACTGGGACGTGGGGGCCGAAGACCCCGAGCCGCAGCCTCGGCGAGGCCTCGTCCTTCACCGTGCAGATGCGAAGCTTTCAAGGACACGTCTGCACCGGCCCAGCGGGGGTGCGTGTGCGTGAGTGTGTCCGCGTGCGTGTGAGTGTGTGCAGGCGGGTGGGTGCTGCTGCAGGGGGCGACCCTGGGCGCCCCCGCCCGCAACGCCCCGGGCCCTGGCCCCGAGGCTCCCACCCCCTGCGTTTTCCGGTCCCCGCGGCCCGGGTCCGGGATCTTCGCCCGCCCCCGCCCCGCCCCCACACTGCGGCGCCGCCACCGCCACCGCCACCGCCACCGCCGCCGCCGCCGCCGCCGCCGCCGCCCCGGCTCCCACGGCCAGCGGCGGGGGCAGGGAGGAGCCAGGCACGACGTCCGCCCCCCCCCCCCGCCCCGCGCGCGCGCCGCTCGACTCTCCGCGGAGAGGTGTGCCCCCCAACTGGCATTCTCCCCACCCCCGCCGCCCCTCCCAGATCCGCTGGCACCCCGCACCCCCAGCCACAGGTGGCCGGAGGAAGATCGCTGCGCAGCGCTCCCCGGCCCGGCCCCCCGATCACCCCTTGGCCCGCCCCCCGGGGGCCTCCCGGGTCCCCCCGCCCCGCCGGGCCGAGGAGGGCCTGGAGCCGGGGGGGAGGGGCGGGGGGCCGGGTCGTGCCAGGCTGCCATTTTCTGCCGCCGCCGCGGAGCCTGCGCGGGGCCCGGCCCCCGCCCCCCTCCCCCGCTCCCTGCGGGCCGCGGCGGGAGCCGATTATTCCGGGTCGGGGTCCGCGCCCTCCAGCGCCCCGGCCTCAGGCCCCAGGCTGGGCCCCGGGGCGGGGGCAGGCAGGGCCCGGAAGGCGGGGGCGGCCAGGCCGGGGCCCCTGCGGCAGCGCCTAGCCGGGCACCGAGGCTGAGGCCGGCGGCGGAGGGGGGCCCCCGGCGGCATTGTATAGACTTGAACTTGAGCCCGGAGCCGGGCGGGGGCGCGGAGGGGGCTCCGCGCCGGGAGCGGGCGGGACGGGAGGGGGCGCCTGGCGAGCCCGCGGGGACATAAACAAACCCTCCAATCCCCCGCGTCGCCCTGGCCAGCCCGGCCCGCCGTCGCCGCCCGCAGCCCTGGCCCCGTGAGCGCCCGGCGCCGAGTTGCGGGGGTCCGGGAGCGTGCCCCGAGCCGGACACTGCCCGCCACCGTGCCCCCCGCCCGGCTACCCTCCTCCCCGCCCGCCTCCGGGCCGGCCTCCCGGGCCGCCAGCAGCGGCGCTCATTACCGTGTGGCCGGTGGGGTCGGGCCGGCCCGGCTGCGCGCCCTAGTGCCGCGGCGCCGCGTCCCGGCTCGTCCTCTGCTCTCGCCGCCGCCGCCGCCGCCGCCGCCGCCCGCGCGCCCTCCCTCCCTCCCTCCCGGCCCGCCTGCCTGCCTTGCTCGCTCGCTCCCTCCCTCCGCTCGCTGTCGCGCTCCCTCTCTCCGCCTCCTCCGCCGGGTCCCCCCCTCCCACCCCTTCTCTCCGCCTTCCTCCTTCCCTCCCTCCGGCCGCCCGCGGGCCCAGGCCTCCGCCCGCTGCTCGCCCCCCGCGGCCGCGCTGGCCCCGGCCCCGGCGCTGCGGAGCCGGCCCGCGAGGCAGCGCCGACTTGGGGGCCCCGGGGCGCCGCGGCGGGAGCGGCCTGGGCGCGCGGCCGGTCCTAGCGCCCTCGGCCCGACTTCCTGGCCCCTAAGTCCCCGCTGGGGGTCCCCGCACGCTGCAGGTCGGAGAGCCGGACCCCGCAGTGCCCCGACCCTGCGCAGGGCCCGGGCACCCCACCTCGGCCATTTCTCCCGGCCACTCCGCTGGGGGCCTGCGGCAGCCCTCACCACCCCCCCGGCCCGACCCTGCGCGGGGCGCCCCGCTACCTGGCGCTGCTTCTGCGCTGGGTCCCCGCATCCAGCACTGGCCGCAGGGACAGCGGCCCCTCCTCTCCCGCGGCCGGTGTCAAGTGCCTCCCCCCCGGCAGCCCGCGGAGCCCCCGGCGGCTTTCGCCCTGCAGTTCTCCCGACCTCCACCAGAGCCCACTGCACTCTGCCTGCCTCAGCACTGGGGCTGGGGACAGCAGCGCCGGCCCATCCGCGTCGCAACCCCCACGCCACCCGCCACCCCCGCCAGGTGCCGCCGCCGAGTGGAGGCCAGTCCATTCAACAGGGCCAAGGTCGGGGCACCGGGCCTATCCAGGCCGTCTTGGAGGCTCGAGCACCTCTATTGGATGAGCCTCCCTTGAAGGGAGTGAGCTCCCCGTACCTTGAGGTGTCCAAGTAGAGTTGAGTGCCCTCAGTTGGTCAGTGGAAGACTGAAAGATTCCTTGGCTGGGAGGTGGAACTAAATGACATTGAAGATCCCTTCCAGCTCTAAGATTCCGTGCACACACCTACACTCCACCCTCGTGCTTACTCACCCCATTGCTGCGAGGGTTGGTCTCATTTCCCGTAGAGTTCCCAGGGCTCCAGGTGTCTGACTTGGGGCATCTCTGTCTACTTACATCAGCACCACCGCTCTCACTCTCCCAACCACCACCGCTAGGCTTGGCCCCCTCACTCCCCTCCCCTCTTCTGCTTGTATCCCCAACCAGTCATCTCCCACAGTGTACTCTCATTCCACCCAGCGCTTCATCTTTATTACAGCGCTCTGAGCTCCCTGGCCCAGGATATAGTGTGCCCCCTTCCCCAGGCATCCATCACCTTCTCTGCTGAAACCAGTCCTCCTTTTCCCTCCACCCCCACTAACTTCAGCCCTTCAAGGGTCACAGCAACAGTTACCTAACTCTTTGGGACATAGAACTGACCTTTCATCCAAGAGATTCCCTTCCAGAAGTCTTCTAATGCTTCCAGGTCCCTCAGTCTGCCAACTCCCCATGCCTCAAGGTCAGATACCACTCCCTACACAGTTTTCAGTGTCCTCCTCATTCAAGGGGTCACCCCATGGCACTGGTGAGAGGTCCTGCTATCCATGGTCTCTACCTGGCCAGTTCCAGAGACTTAAGATGTTCCTTCCATCTTAAGTGGTCTCTGAAGACAGAGACCACCTCTGTCACCTCTGTAGCCCCATACTTGGCACAAGCTTTGGCCGAATGAGTATGTGCATTGCAGGGTCCTTGCCACTTTGCTTTCAGCATCAAGGTGGACAATCATAGACATGCTAAAGGTTGGCTAAGGGGAAGACCATGTTTAGAAAGATAGTTGCCATACCTTCTAGTTCCTTAAAGTGTGAAAGTGTTAGTTGTTCACTAGTGTCCAACTCTTTGCGACCCCATGGACTGTAGCTCACCAGGCTCCTCTGTCCATGGAATTCTCCAGGCAAGAAAACTGGAGTACGTAATCATTCCCTTCTCCAGGGGATCTTCCTGACCCAGGGAACGAACCTGGGGCTCCTGCACTGCAGGCAAATTCTTTACCATCTGAGCTACCAGGGAAACCCTAGGGCTTATATAATAATACTCCAACTAGCAGTGAGGGTTTTCTGAGTGTCTCCTGTGTGCCAGGCACCAGGTTGGCACTTTTCCCCTAGTCCGTAGCAACACTGTGTGGTAGTGTGTGTCATCCCCATTCTGCAGATGAAGAAACTGAGGCTCAGTCAAAGCCGCAGAGCTGGGAAGCGGCAGAGCCAGGATCCAAAGCATGGTCTGACTGACTCTGAAATTGTGATGGTTCCCTTAAAACCTTACAGTTATTCTCAATAAACTGACACTCTCAGGGTCAAGTGGGCAGTTGTGTCTCTCTTCAGTAGGGAATTCCTTGGCTTGTTCCGTGGTTAGGACTCAGCATTTTCACTGCCACGGCCTGGGTTCAGTCTCTGATTGGAGTACTAAGACCCTGCAAGCCACGTGGCTCAGCCAAAAAAGAAAAAAAAAAAGCAGCTTTCTATTCAGTAGAATTATCTGTGATGAACTCATTGGGAGCCCAGATAAGTGTGACCCTGGATGTCTGTGAAGCTGATGTCAAAAGGCCCAAGGTGACCATGTTAAGGGGTTTGCTTATGTGCAGTAAGAAGCAAACGTGTGGCTGCAGGATTGGTTCTGGCGCCTGGTCCTGATGTCTTTGGCATGAGGAAGGCCCTCCAGGCTGTGCCAAGAAGAGACACATCAATGCTGGCTAACCGTACTGGGCCCTCCTCACCATACATCACATGGGGTCCAGCTCAGATTGATTTAGCCTTCAGGCTCCTACGGCCATCAGTTGTGTGTGCTCCACTGTGGCCCAGCCAGTATCCCGGTCAACCCTAGATCATCTGGGGTGAGGGGCAGTTATCAGTCACCTGCAGTAACAAACAAGTGACAAAATCCTGCCTGACAGAAGGATTAAGCAGTTAAGAGTTTAGATAGCCAGGAAGACCAGGGAACGGGTCAATCCAGGGACTCAAGTGCCAGCTCCAGAGCTGATTCTCTCACCTTCACTCTTGTCTTCTTCCCGCTTTGGGCACTTTTCTGTGCTTTAAACAAACTAAAGGTGGTAGGCAGCTGTCTCATGTCCCTACTCTCCCAACTTAGAGAATCCCAGTGGAAGAACATAATTTCCTTTCCTTCAGGAAACCCCCTAATGCTTCCAGGGCAGGAGGTTCCTTGTCTTTTATTTTATTTATTTATTTATGTATTTACTTTTGGCCACAACACACAGAATCTTCCCTGACCAGGGATCAAACCCGTGCCCCCTGCACTGGAAGTGCAGTCTTAACTACTGGACCACCAGGGAAGGTCCTCCATGTCTTTGATAACACTTTCCCAATAAAAAATAAATTAATAATTAAAAAAAACACCCTCCAAAACCCTGAGCCTCAAATATGAGACACAATTGTCCTGTTTTGTATTTCAGTGGCACCCTTGCTGTCAGCGCCATCCCTAGCAGAGATGTCCTGAGGGTTACTTCAGTTGTTCTGACTTTGGTCAAAGCCCACTCTGAACATGTCCTACCACCTGGGGGTGGCGTGGATCACATATCCATCCCCTTAAGTGAGTTCAGGAGGTTTGGAGACTGACAGACCCAACAGCACCCTGTGGAGAAGGGGCAGAGCTGTTGTCCAAAGCAAGGGTGCTGGGCAGACACACTGCACTTCGCCCAATGGCCGCCCAGCATCCATGTACACTGTCTTTTCCCCATACAAGCATCAAAAATGCTCTTGCTGGGACTTCCCTGGTGGGCAGTGGCTAAGACTCCGTGCTCCCAATGCAGGGAGCTTGTGTTCAATCCCTGGTCAGGGAACTAGATCCCACATGTAGCAACTAAGAGTTCAAATGGCACAACTAAAGATTCTGCATGCCCTAGTGAAAATTAAAGATCTCATGTACCGCAACTAAGACACAGCACAGCCAAATAAATATTTTTTTTTTAATGTTCTTGCTGCTTGGTAGAGGTGGTGGCTGCACAATATTGTGAATGTACTAAATGCCCCTGAACTGTACATTTTCCAAAGGTTAATTTAATATTATATGAATTTCACCTCAATAAAAAGATACTTTTAAATGCTCCTACTAAAATAAAGAACCCTCACCACCTACAACTAAAAATCCACTTACTCTCCTTCCCAAAGGAGGATAAAGAGGATCCAGGTAAGTTGCATTCCTCTCAATGGTCTACACGTGGCTTCTCATTATCTGTAACAGTGGCTACATTATAAATTTAACCACCCTCAAAACACCAAGCCTATGATGGTGGAGATAAAATAGATTATTCTCAATGAAGACTGACTTTAGAAGAGAGGGGAAGGGAAAAAGCACACAGGGGCCCACCCTGCCAGAGGGGCAGCCAGGACTCACTTCTTCTAAGGGAGCTTAGTCCTTGTCTGGAGGCTTATTGTCTTCAATGGCTGAGCCTGAGGGCCTGCAGGGAAGAAGTCCCCTTTGGGGAAGGCCAGCTCCCTATTGGCATGGTCGTGGCTTCCTGGGGATTCCTTCAGAGGCTGGGCAATCCCTAGGTCTGAGGATTGCAGAATCACTTCCTTAAAACCTCAACTGGCTGCCAGTCAGCTCATTTCCTAGGAACTCCATGGACTGACTAGTAACTCGCCCCCTGAAATCCCAAAGCTGATGAGTGGACTCCAGTGCATGGCCACCACAGAGGTTGTGAGCATTACAACAAAGAGGGAAATAAAAGTGCTTTGTAACCCATAAATGAGGTCATTATCCTAATTCACCAAGAAAATCATAAAGACACGGATTCGTTCTGTACAGTTTTACGTGTGCTAGTACACAGTCCTTTTATTCAGTTCTTTTTACCTTCTTACTGGATTTCCCACAGCAATTGTCATCCACTTCCCTCCCCTATTTCTAGATGCTGATTCAGCCTTTTCCTCCAGAAAACACCTTAGCCTCTGCCTCTCACTCCACTCTGAGCCTCACTTCTGTATATTGATAGAACCAGAGATAAATAGAGATGTAAAATGTATGTGTGTATATTTACATCTTGTGTATATACATACATTCCCCTCTTCTGTCCACTGAGAGCATGTACAAGCAATGAAACCTCAACAGGGATGAGGATACCTCATGCCCAGATCTTGGTTTCTAAATACCATTCTTTACCAAAAGGAACTGGACTTTCTTTGGAGAAATGGCAGCTTCCAGAGCTGGGTCAAGCAAAGAACAAGATGAGCCCAGAACATGTTATACTTTAAAGTTAAAGAAGTATTCAAAGAAGGATGGGGTACAGAAAGGGCTTTTACTGGGAAAATATGGGAAAGTTTGAGCACCGAAATAATGATACCAACAGATCATAAATCCACTGCATAAAATAGGAATCCATGAGTCCACAGTGCTAGAAATAAATAAACGAACAAATTGCAAGTTTAGTGGGGAATGGGATATTTACACAGCCTCAAAGTACTTCCCAGCAAGATACTTACTAATTACAAAGAGGAAAAGAATAACTTTACAATGAAAAAGCCCTTTAATCAAGTGATCAAAGTTAACTTCATCAGTAGTGGACCAAATTGAAATGATACACCACTTAACAGGATGCAGTGAGAACGACACAGCATCATTTCTGTCATACATACTCCAGCCAAAGATGCATCACCTGAATCTAATCTCAAGGAGACGTCAGACAAACCTCCTGGCCCATTTGGGCTGCTGTAACAAAGTACTATAGACTGGGTGGTTTATAAACAATGAATAGTTATAT